TATGCATTTTCCCTTTTGCCGTGGTGTCAGCTCACTCCCCACTTTGGAGATCTTCCCCTTGCGAAAACTGGAAGTACCGTAACCGCTCAAATTAAATACATTATGCTTCAAAATCTCTCCCCCCCCCTGCACTGGAATGGAACTCTACTCCGTTTTGTCCCATGAATTGATCTGTCTGAAAACACCATTTCAGGGAAGAGAAATTTGATCAAAGTTGAAATCAAACAAAATTATGAATGGTACAAAGGGATCCGCAGGTTCGAGTGATGATTCCTAATCAGAGGAGATCATCTTCAATTATCTCAGTTTAATGGCGTACTGGAACAAGTTTTTCTTTGCAGGACCTCTTGGTATTGTGCTTTCCGTGATTGAGATGTTGATGGTCAATGCTTTCTGGATTCTGAACAGCCGTGTCGATGGAAATGATTTCATAAAGGCATACGTGACTACCTTGATGGTACCGCTACATGGTTCCTCAGCCACCAAACTCTGGAGTATCATCAATTCCGTCGCTGGTGTCCATCGCGATTACAGTGCATATGGCCAGATGTCAGTTTGCAATTTAAGCAGAAGTATATGGGTATACAAAGTAAACGAAAACGCTGCGAAAAATGTGCAGATATGGTACAGAAAGGGCAATTCAAACTGAAACACGATAAAACTCTACAAATCGAATCCCTTTTATGTTTTAACAAACTCCGAGCCCTTTTGTGATCTGTTTGACAATCTAGTTAATTTTTTGCACAGACCCACAGGCCCGTACCATGGACAGGGTCAACCGCCATGTTCGGAAGAAATTTCCCAACTCTTCTTGAGAGACTCTCCCTCCCCCCGCGCATCTAACCCTGCCTTACCTACCCCTGCCTTTTGAAAGGTTGACGGCGTCCGCAGTGTCTCGGAGTATGCTCGGTAAAGCAGTGGATCAGAGGCACGCAAGTGGAATTTATAGAAGTGTTGAAACAGCAAAATTTTTAGAATTTACCTGAATTTCGTAAAGGAAAATTTTGAGTTTTCAAAAATTAACTCCTTCCTACGCCTTAACAAAATTAGGATCCCTTTTTCCTGAATACGACCTCCTCATTGAAATCCCAAAATACGATCCCCTCGTTGAGTAGAGCCCAACGGACGGTTGACTCTTTCTCAGCGCCGAGCGCCTCACAGTGGTTTTGTGGCCTCGTGGGGTTCTGCGCTGTTCAAAAAAATGGAATGATTATTCAGATTTTTTCCATTTCTAAATTGGCGCTGACTCCCTTTCGCCCCCGAATACATGGTCCAGGTCAAAGAGTACAGCTGGCTGGAGGGAATCTTCGGGGTTTCATAGGTTGCCTAGACATTTTGTGTGGGCCCAAAAATTGATATCATTTTTCATACCACATTTGAAGTCGTTGAGTTGGCAAGGCGGAGCAGCTTTCCGGCAGAGCAGCTTTCCCGACCGACCGATTGTCAAAAATAGGAACGTGGCGTTTAGTCGTCAAAGCTCACCCAAAATAAATGATATTTTTACTCCAGGATTATTGCTTGATGCGATTATTTACAGCAAAGTTATTTTATTGCAAATGCGTACGGAACACTTATAACCGCCACTCAGCTGTTTGTGATGATGGGCACCGTGGCGCTTATAATTCTTCTTATGGTTACAGCGCTACAACAGGAAACGAATCGCGACGATCTGGAAGAGGGAAACAGGGTGAGAAAAAAGCAGAGACGATATAAGGAAATCGGTTTCAAGAGTTGCTGAAGAGTGGGAGAGAAAGAGTCTTGGCAGTCTCTGGTTCACACCTGAAGAACCGCCATATCAAAGCTCTTCCATTGTGGGGATCCCCCCCCCCTTACAAGGAGGGTCTTTCAGTTCATGGAGCGCCTTTCCGAAATGGTTCCTTTGCATGTTGTAAGAGGCTCATGCGAGGAACATAAAACTATGGTCCATTTTTCCTGAACACTTCTGGGAACCTCAAAACAGTGGTGAAGAAATGGTCCAAAGTTCAATCCGCCGTGGTGACAAATTTTTGCAATCCATGTTGGAGCCTCCAAATTGTCGCCAAATTACGAGGATGACATGTTAATCGACGCTGGTGCCATTTGGACACAATTTGGAGGCGCCAACATAAATTGCAAAAATTAGACATCACGGAGGATCGAACTTTGGACCATCTCTTCTCCACTATTCTGACCTTCCTAGAAGCGTTCAGGAAAAACGGACCATGGTTTTGTGTTCCTCGCATGAGTCTCTACAAAGTGCAGGAAATCATTTTGGAAAAGCGCTCCATGTCCTGAAAGACCTTCTTTGTAGTTCCACCTTTCGTTCCAAAAAAAAAACACGGGATCGGCAACCTGAAAAATTATTCAATCCTAGTTGAGCGGGACCTTCCCAAACTTCAAAAAGGCCGAAACTTATCTCCACCTAAGCCGGTGATGATTAGTTGGTGATGAGTTGTTTCAACTGCGAAATAATGAATTAGTATTTCAGGCTCGGTTTCGCAACCATACTGATTGTGTCGCTGACTTTGGGATCACTGAACTATTTCATGGACCCACCATATCGTGGCATTCCTAAATTTATGACTATTCTGGTCGTTGTCTGTTCTTCTGCTGTACTAATCGTATTACTCTGTATAGCAGTGAGTTTCCTCGGCTCCTTGCCTTTTTTTTTCACACTTCGCCTTCCTCCTTTGAAATGGATGGTGGGAAATTTGGTAAATACATTGTTAGCAAACCTTAATGGCATACTGGAGAAATAATCTCTAACAAATAATTGATCGAAAATGCACTGATTTTGTGTTTATCAATTTGGTGATTATATCAGCAAAAGGTCGATCAAATAATCGCCGTGCAGCGCATTAAGAATGCCGACTGATGGGATTCGTTCGCGCCATCGATGCTACAACGAGGTGCACAAAAGTGGGACCCTTTATCCCGGTCCCATCTGGGCGAGTTTGTTTAATACCCCACTTTCATTGTTTGTCATGTCACTCACGCTGCCAAGTTCCTACTTAATGTTTAAACTAGACATTTTCTTCTTCGAGGGCTGCAGGCTGTACATTCGCCCTCATCTTTTTTCTGCTCCAGAAATATTTTCACTTATCGTTATCTAGTAGGTCAATTTCGGGTCCATGTGATCAGCTGTCTAATCAAAAGGAATGATCACATTGCTTGTTTATAATAGAGTTTTTCTTAAATGTAAATTAACAAGGACAATCAGGTCTATAGCAACTCGTAAACTACCAAGGACCATGAATCCATTGAGTCTCAACTCGACCCATCGGAGTTTGAGATTCTATTTACTTAGCTTCATATAAGCTATGATTTGTCTGTTGATTTCTGTCACGACAAAAAGTAATCCCTATTTCTGACCCATCTAACATTGCTATTGCGTGAAATATCCAATATACACACTTCTAGTCGCATTTCATACTTCATGAAAATTGCTAGTTCAATACCTCATGCTTGCGCATAGCTTATTAATCGATACATACGGTACATATGATAATGCGAGTTGTGAAGTTAAAGCGATTAGTGCGAGTTTTGCTATCATAAGCACCCACTAAGTCGCGACTGTCAACTCCCCTAGCATCTTCCCTTCCGGAGCATATTTCCCTCGCTATAACATTCTGGAAAGGCAGCAAAAAAAATGCTTCTCTATCTGTATTATCGATATCTACAATACGTTATTTTCGATTACACCCTCCCTGCTCCCGTTCCTCCGTTGCCCATTCGATCAACTGTCGAGTTGCTATCTGGGAAGGGGTTACACTGAGTGGTGCTTTTTCTTAATTATGTCAAGGCCTCAGATTTATGCGAAAACTCAGCCTTGGAGTATTTTGATCCCGCCATGACACACGAAAATTGTGCAGTGAACGAAAAACCTGCACATGTCCATAATACCTACAAACAGCACCTCTAATTCCTCCATTATCAAAGCGTATTAAAGCAACAGTTCAGGGAGGGTCCGAAAATTTCAATGCCACTACTACTGAGGGATACACGAGCCCTAGTGAAGAACATATGCAGTGGAAATAATAAACGAACTTACCTCAGAAACTCAAAAACAGGGTGGAAAGTCCCTCAAACATGGGTGTTCTTGGGGATTTCCCCAATCCCGCCCCCTTGCCGGCCGTCATTGGACGCGTCGGCAATCGTGCTCGTTTTGGGACCACAGGGAAAATTGATTGAAAAATGGAGCGCGTTTACAGCGGGCACGTTCAGACAACTCGTCCAACGTGCGTCTTTATCCATTGCTGAGCGGCAGAGGGAGAGTACCTGTCTAAGACCCTCCCCGACGTTTTTTTCCAGTTTTTCATACATTAATCGTCTGGTTTTCATCTACAACTTCATTATTGGTGGTTTTTTCCCGCGAAACGCGAAAATTCCGTTCCTGGAAATTGTTGCTTAACAAAAGTTAACTGACGACAGCCCATTATTCTTTGGCCTCGGCAACTTCCTGTTTATTTTTTTTCACATTCATCAAAACTTCTTCAATAATTCCACTACTGGTATTTGACGCATAGTTTTTTGGATAAGATAATGCATGCACACAGTTTTGAACAAACATAAGCCCAAATAACTCACGAACAAAAATCGAGCCAAGAATCATCGTGAAATTCGACGGCGCAATTCGCATCATTCTGAGTCGTCAACAAACTTGTAAAGCAAAAGTCAGTGACTCGTTTTGGACAAATGCGCCTAAATTCTGAGTTGTAAAGATGGGAGGGAACGATCAGTGAAAAGAAAAAAACACAAAGAGACCGTTCAGCAAACCAAGAACCGGTGGACCAAATCGAAACCCCATCTCTTCTAGCAGTGAAAGAGGCTTGCTCGGGGGAGAGCCACGTCCAAACGAGTTTTCCGGATATGCCAGCCGTTCCATCGGTTGATACGGCAATCAACCTAGCTGATCTCACACGTTAGGCCAGCCACGCACCAACCACATCCCGCGGTGGGCGATCCGCTGAATGTAACGAAACTCATCGCTGAAAGTATAGACAGAACTTGATCGCACGCGCACAACTCTCGAGCAAGGTATGGGCATCACCCTCTGAACGCATACAACCTGAACATATTAGTGTGAAACCTTCTAAAGTACCTAATCTACTCGTTGGATTTAAACTAAGGGTCTGCCGCAATCCCACACCTAAAGATCAATTAGATGTATTATCAAGACCTTGATAAAGTACTGGTGTAAAAAAAAAAAACTTCGGCTATGATGGAAAAAACAAGAAACGACAAATTTGTCGGCCTATTGAAACTGCAGACCTCTTGGCTTCAATGGAGAAAAGAACGACTGCCAGCTTCTCACTGAACAGCTCATAAGAACACATAACTTCTGTATACTTTGAAAAGGTCCATACATGCGCATTTTTTTAGAAAAACACCTAACAGTAAGGGACGAGTCAAAGAAACCCTCCATAACTTTTTCAGAGAAGAATTAAGCTCATAATAAAGTAGATAATAAAGTAGATTCAAACTCATCGTCTCTAACCGCACATTAGAACTCAGTCACTTTCACCACGCAAGAACTTGAGCTAAAATTTCTCAAAGTATGCACACCCAAACAATCACCACCCATTAAACAATCGTCCGGTCGATCTGATTAACACTTTCCTGATATCAACGGTGGCTTCTTGTCGTTCCACTAGAGTTGAAGCAGAGCCTGGTCCATCGAAACCGTTGACTCTAGAATTTGACGGTACTACTAGTTAATGCACTTGATCTAGCGAAAATTCAAATATAAAAAAGTGCTGCAAAAAAACAGGCATTACCTTGTTGATTAAGAGCAAAACGATGAAAATATTTGGGAGATTTGTGGCCAAATACATAGAATATCACACATAGATTTCATTAAATGGAAAGAGTTTGGCATAGCTGCCATTTTGGCTAACTTTGGTGAACCCTTTTACAAGCAAGAATTTCATCAAGTTTCCCGCGGAATTAGGAAAGAAGTACACTTCCGTGGACAAATTATTACGTTTCTGAACGAAATTATGAAGATGAATAAAGTTATGTAAATATCTTCTATCGAAAGAAAAGAACTACGTATCTATATGACAACATTAAAGCTTTGCAAACCAGGGAAACAGACCATTTCAAGTTATTCAAAGTCCACTTTCATAGCATCACCGTGTTAAGCCGAGCTGATGGATCAACGGAATGACAGATTTGTTGAACGAAATTCTTGATTTAGTTGCAGGATAGCTTGGGTGCCGATCAGAAGTTAAAGTGAGCAGCGTTCGCAAATATGAAAAGGTAAAGCTCCCAGGAGTGGTAGGTAGCTCACGGAGGTAATGGCATTAGGCTAAGGTTGGTAATTCCTGGAGAATGTGAGTTGCGGGTGAGAAGCTGGAGCACTGTGAGTGTAAGCGCTACGTGAAATGCTCGTGTACTGGTTTTCGGGTCGTGCGCCCCATGCCTGACCTAAATACTGAGTTAGGTTAGAAGGTTAATAGCAAACTCCAGACTAGTGGAATGTGGACCGTACGAACAGCGCGCCTATGAAGCATACAACCGCCCCCAATTGTGAAACGGCTGCTTGGATTTTAGGACAGTTCAAAGGCGAGAGCCCGCACGCCCTCAACTGGAAGATGTTAGATTTTCCCATAGATACATGTACAAATCTCAAGTCCTGCGCGATTTCGAAGCCCAGATTAGTGAGGTAGCTCAGTCGATAGTAAATTCAGTTTACCTATCTGAAGCTCAAATTGAGCGGTTAGTTTACTGCTTATAGCTGCAGCCTCATTGAAGAATTTGATGCTGAAAGCTGCTCTCAATTTTCATGACTCGTCATATGAAGATGTTATTTTCGGTAAATCGAGACAGTGTATGATGTTCTGTGCGTTATGGTTCACTTTCCGCGAGGAGACAAGCTTCTGAACGCCACTCCCTGTGACCCTAGGACTTGTGGGAGGAGTGAAAAGGGTGCAGGGATTGATGTATGTGGTGTAGCTGTTGGTTATCCGATGCAATTGAGCATTCAGATTCGAAATAGGGGCAAAGCGATCCATAATGAGGATGTAAAAGACGAGTGAAATGAAATTGCCATAGATGACAAGGCCAAAATTTTTCCTGATGTCGACATTCCGAGGAAACGTTGAGTGATCTAGTCGCCAATATTTATGACAGATGTACGGCAAGAATTCGAACAAAATACTTTTCTTAGATTGGACTTGTTTTATTAGTTAAGTGCTGTTTGAAAGCTGCGACGATCCGCTACTAGAGATACTGGGTTATGGGCAAATTTCGCCCCAGGCAGAATCCAACCCGCACATCTGGCTTTCTTCTGCCCATAACTCAGCATTCTTGTTGAATTTTCCTTGGTTTTTCAGATTGTTACCGAAACAAAAGCTGCGTTATCGTGCTCTTGTTTCTTTCTGTTGTGGAGAATAGCTCTCAGTATGATTCTGGGGAGATACAATATGAAGTTCCTGACTATTTTTGGACCTAAGTAAAATTAATGGAATTAGCGGTCTCAGTTCTCTGCGGAACAGCCCAATAAGACAGGTAGCTGTTTTTAAGAAAGGAAAGTCGGTCACTCTGGGTTGAGCTGCTTTTATTCCTAGTTCC